CAAAAGATATTTTATTTGGCACGTCGAGACGCTCTAACTTTTACTGTCAATGAAGTTTCCGAATTGGGGATTTATGCCGGACACGAACGCATTCTTCGCAACACTATAACAGAATGCATATTGTTTTTGCAGAATGCATATTGTGTTACAAATATTGCGTAGAAACACTTATGGCATAGCGTATGTAAATATCGAATTGTTGCGCGATGTATCGCGATAATCGCGATTAATTGAGAGGGGGGAAGGGGGGAGGGGTGAGTGAGTGAACGTGTGAGAGAAAGAGAAATCTAACGAGGAAGTTAATTCGAGAGCGAGTTAATTCGCGATTTCCATTAGCCGCCGGCTATTGAAGTGGAGCAGATTTACTCCCTCCTTTCAGCATCCTCTATTTTTCTTCCATTAGACGCTATCCTCTACTGAATGTTTTCACTACTATTTACGCCGGCGGATGTTTCCGGCTTTCATATATTTTTCATGAAATTGTATGTTATGTAGAGCCCGCATTAAGTCGCGCCAATATATAAAGAAAGAAAAGAAGGAGAGAAAAAGTAATGCTCTAAAAATATCTTGTTATCATTATTAGGAATGAATAAGTCTTTGGGAAATCGGAAGATGAATTCCAGTTTGAAACCAGTTGCAAAGGTTCGAATACGCGGATAAAATTAGATTTGAAACTGTATTATTCGATGGATGAATTCAAGTGAAGTCAGTTCAGGTTTTCATCTTTCCCAATAACAGCGTGCCGCACCTCGACATCTGTGAAAAATTCTGGAAAATCGTGAAACTTCTCTTGATAAATTAAACCGACAAAGGGCACAATTTACGGAGGGTCACGCATAAATAACTCTTTTCAAAGCCACCGTCGCTTGTAGGTAATTCGCAGGGGGGAAGAATTTATTCGGGACGGCGAGGGGATGCGAGGGGCAACGCTCAGCGCGCCATGGCCCATGTTTATTTGCAAACGAGAGTTTAAAATTGTGTTTTCCCGTGGTGGAGTAAATGGTTGAGGTTAACGGCTACCCGAAATTTAATTCACGAGATCGTCGGGCGAATCACAGGGCGGATGTACGCGTTCGATTTCGTATATCGTCCCGCATTTGCATCGGCGTGTAGCGATAATTGAGCAGGGACGCGAGCGGGATACGCGAGTTGAAATAAATTAGAGCAGCGCTTCCGCGCTGGTCCGTATTCACTCGGTACTCTGACTATAACGCGAACCGCCATTAAAATAATGTGCCAATCAATCGAACTGCATTCGATCCGATCGATTTGTCACGACTTTTTGGAAAATTTCCCTTCCCCCCTTCCCTCTCCCCTCCCGCTGCGCTTGACGCAGTTCCATCTCCATATTGCAACGGAGATATTGCAAAACATGAAAATCGTTTTAGGAAACGTCACTGGAATATTTGTCCTAGTATCGAATCGCAAACCTGATGTCGTTGAATATATATATATATATATATATATACATCTCATGTTTTCCTGGAATAAACATCGGAACTACACAGAATCAAATTTAAGGCAAAATGTATTTTCAAGTTTCATCGAGACGAGCCAATCTTGAAATAACAGTTATCTTGTTTCAAAGATCATATAAATTAAGCAACGGAATGAATAAATTAATTTCTTCCCGATGTTACAACATTGAGAAAAGCATTAAGAAAAGTTATAGAAAGTGGAAATCGTTTCGTGACTTCCGTGCTATTATATCGCAGAATAAATGTTTCGAAAATCTATATCTAAATCTCGCTGTGATTCCTTGACTATTCGTGGCTTAATATAAAATTCTTTGTGTCGTTATTAAAAAAATCCATTTAAAGCAATTAACCAAGCAATTTTCTTTTACACCAGTATTCGCAAGAATCTCTCTCGTTGTACTTTCCGCAAACACAGCTTGCGTTAAATTCATGTTTAAGATACATCCTATATTTATCGTCGAACGGGATAGGAACGGAATAATGCACGAGTAACAGGATGAAGGATACAGTACGAGCTGCAGGCGATGGAAGCTACAATATTGGACATTGCTTTTTAGTGCAAGCGGCTGCGTTCATAAATTCCCCCGAGGAGATCATAAGATCGCGAGAATGAGAGAGGAAGCGCGCAAAGAAGGTGAATAATAATACTAAATGTGACATGCATAAGTGCTTTACATCAAGCGCGCGCAAGAGAAAGAGAGAAAAAAAGAAGGGAAGATATCTTGTACAAAAACAGTTGTGTACGAGTCTAAGTAATTGTACGTTTTATAAAAAGCAAAACGGTACCACACGGTACCGTTATTTTCGGGAAGTTATTTTCGAATGTGCATCAACGATGTGGAAAGTTGCGCTTTTATGTATATCGATATCGATAAAACGCGCCGACCGAAAAATTCTGAATGGAACGAATCAATTTTGTAGCAACCGTGCTCTATTCTGTATCGCTGCAGTTTTTGCGTTATCCTATGCGAAATGAAGCAAAAAACGAAGCAAGAAAAAATCGAAAATAAATTTTTGATAAAAATTCAATCTCCTTTTGCAAATTTACGACTCGAAAAAAATAAGTTTTCCACGTAACATTTTGTAAGAAGAAGATAGGAAATGTTTTTGCAAAACTTGTCAACAGTCTTACAACTAAGAATCTGAATATCAAACAATGTTAAGAGAATGTAGAAGAATAAATAAAAAATAAAAATTTTCAAAAATTTATTTTCTCAGAAACTCTAGAATGTATCTACTCTTTTTTTTTAAATGTCCTTTTACCTAGTTATAATTTCTAAATTATTTATTAATTCTTTTATAAACATTGCAACAGTCGTGACTTTTTATTTTTAAATAAAAGAAAGTTTCATCGCATTGTATAAATAACATCAGTAAGAAAAGAATAAGGAAAAAAAAAAAACTGTTTTCAGCCTATCTTAGACATGTATTGCCATAACATATTGCAAGAGGAACTTAAAATCAATTTTTTAATTTTATTAGGAGCCATTGTCTATAGATTAAAATAGAAATTAAATTATTTTTGCGATT